CTAGAGTTTATGAGTGAACCTTTAATTTCCACACTTTGTCCAGAGCAAGACACATTTCATTAGAATAACCTGAAAGTCAAAATCCCAAAATCTTCAGCCTAGTCGCATGCAAGCATAGACAAAAGGGTTTTCAGAAAGCAGAAATCATTAAACAGAATGATTCAGCAATTCAATTTGGGGAAACAAAAAAAGTGAGTTTATGGTGATAATCTGGATTTACTTATGAATAGTCAAGGAACTCAATCTGCTGTGAACATTTAAATTTAAATTGGAAGAATGATTTCTGTATCTTTGCTTCATTGCATCATTAGGGTGCAGCCGAAAAGAAGCAATCAGTGTGTCTCCACCATGCTGAACAAGTGGTCGACTGAGAAAGATAACAAAATCTCCTTTGATACTTTAAGTTTCATTGGCTGCCAACCACTTAACATACAACTTCCAATAAACTTAATTATCTTAGAAGAATCTAATTAAGAAATGGATGGATGATAAAAACCATGCCAGAAAATGAATGATTAATTTGGCATAAACTGGCGTGAGTTTGAACAGAAATGCCATGAAATTATTTCGTGAAATTAATTTCCACTTCTTACAAAAAATTTGTAGCTTAATTGATTAAAAGCATTTACCATGCACCCGAGTTTTTAGGGTCGATTCTTGTCTAATATCGCTTGTCTAATAAGAGAGAATATGATTTTCTGTCAAAGGAAACTCCCAAGCTAGTACATTGGATTCTAGTATATTCTAAAATTCTGAACAATTCAAGGGAAAAATCAATACTAAATTTCAGCATGACCCACAGGATGGATAGGTGGAACTCACTACATGTGAACAGCACCTTTAACACCCCTCCTTTATCCATTTTCATGTTAACCTCTTCTACTTTTGTCCGAAAAAAATGTTAACCTCTTCCACTTCTGCTAAACTTTTGCAGCTTTGATTTGTGAAATCTGACCCACAACCTGTCAACCACAAGCATGAGGACCCACTGGATGCGGCGGATCAAAGACCATCAAAGCCGACACTCACTCACCATCTCCACCCTTCAGTCAACGAGTCAAAGATGATGGACACGTGTATAGCACTAGATTAAGGACCACGACAACTTGCATACACCTGCACTTACACTTTGCCTTGAAAAGACAAGACTTGGTGGCTTCTTGCACAGCCAAGCTTTCTTTCCCTCAAACAAAGCAACCCTCCTGCAACCCTATGAACTTAAAAAAACCAACTAATTCCAAAGGTGAGCGTGCACCGTGCAGAACAGGATTAAATATCAAAAGCAAACCCAATAATTTATTGAATGAAGTGAGAAGTGTTTTGTTTGTCATCCTATGAGAATGAGAATAAAGATCAGCTGTAATGGTCCTCACAGTATGATTATCTTCTGATAAAGTTTGAAACTTTTTGTATAAATCCGACGGTGGATAATCAACATGGTACGAATTCATATGACTGTGTAATCAAATCAAGACCCTATAGATAATAGACTAGGAGATTGCTCATAGTCAACACTCTGTCAGCTTTTCAAAAAAAGAGAGCTTCTTTGAACTGCCCACCACTACAATACCACCTTTCCTCTTTCACTCTGTCTCTGTCTCTGTCTCTGTCTCTGCTTCATTCATGGAGATTTTGAAACGTTTCTTTCTCCACATTTTCCTCTTCTACTTCGTTGTAGGGTTGAATATTAGCTCACCCACTGAGTCTGCTTCTACATCTTCTTCTTCTTCTTCTTCTTCTTCTTCTTCTTCTTCTTCTCACTCTGCAGATGTTGAGCTTCTCTTGGGAGATATCAAAGCTTCACTGCAAGGTAACACTCAGAACTTACTCTTATCTTCATGGAATTCCTCTGTTCCTCTTTGCCAATGGAGAGGCCTCAAATGGGTCTTCTCCAATGGCTCCCCTTTGCTCTGCAATGACCTCTCTTCACCCCAATGGACAAATCTCTCTCTTTCCAGAGACCCATCTCTTCACCTTTTCTCTCTTCAGCTCCCATCTGCCAATCTCTCAGGTTCACTCCCTAGAGAGCTGGGTGAGTTCTCTATGCTCAAAAGTTTGTACCTTAACATCAATTTTCTGAGTGGAACTATCCCTCTGGAGCTTGGGTACAGCTCTTCCCTCTCTGACATTGATTTGGGCAACAATTTGTTGAATGGGGATTTAGCACCATCTATATGGAACTTGTGTGATAATCTGGTTTCACTTAGGCTTCATGCTAATTCACTATCTGGGTCTCTTCCTGAACCTGCATTGCCAAACTCTACCTGCAAAAATTTGCAGGTTCTTGATTTTGGTGAGAACAAGTTTTCAGGGAATTTCCCTGAATTTGTTACCCAATTTGGTGGGCTTAAAGAACTTGATCTTGGGAATAACATGTTTTCGGGTCCAATTCCCGCGAGTTTAGCTCAGTTGAACCTCGAAAAATTGAACCTTTCACACAATAATTTTAGTGGAGTGTTGCCAGTTTTTGGTGGATCAAAGTTTGGTGTGGAGGATTTTGAGGGAAACAGCCCTGGACTTTGTGGGTTACCTTTGAAAAGTTGTAGTGGAAGCTCTGGGTTGAGCCCTGGAGCAATTGCTGGTATTGTTATTGGGTTGATGGCTGCAACTGTGGTTTTTGTTTCATTGTTAATTGGGTATGTGCAAAACAAGAAGAAGAACAGCAGGGCAGAGAGTGAAGATGAGTTGGAGGAAGAAGAAGATGAAGAAAGTGGTGGCGGTGGTGGTGGAGCTGGTGATCAGGGAAGGCTTATCTTGTTTCAGGGCGGCGAGCATTTGACATTAGATGATGTGTTGAATGCCACAGGACAAGTTTTGGAGAAGACCAGCTATGGGACTGTTTATAAGGCAAAACTTTCAGATGGAGGGACCATTACTTTGAGGTTGTTGAGGGAAGGTAGTTGCAAGGATGGGAGTTCTTGCGTACCTGTGGTAAAGCAATTGGGAAGGATTCGCCACGAGAATTTGATTCCACTGAGAGCTTTCTATCAGGGGAAGAGAGGGGAGAAGCTTCTGATATATGATCATCTTCCTCACAGAACCCTTCATGATCTTTTACATGGTATGCATATTTTTCTTGCTTTTCTCTCTACTTTGTTGCTTTGCAATTATCCTGTGAGATTGAATAGTTTATAGTCTTTGCCATATTTTACAAAGAAATGAGCCTTAAAATACTTTGAGTCTTTTTTGTCTTGTAACTGATAGATCTCTAAATACTTCCAATTGTATGTCTTTGGCCTCTTGTGATTGTTAAAACATTTAAAATCATCAATTGTCTCATATTTGGTTAGTTTGGAGCGATAGATATTTGTAGCATGATAACACACAAAAAAACAAGCGTTTACATGGTTCACTGCCCTTGTCATACCTGAAAGGATTTCCACAACCACCATAGGATTACTTATACAATTTCCATGGATATGAAAGAGTGGAAACTTAATTACAGGAACCCTCACTTTACTGTTCTGTAAGAGTCAGTTCCGAAGTTCATAGAAGCCCACTTACTTTAGAAGAATTAGCAGCAACATATTATTTGTAGGCCCACTCAACTTAAGCAACTTCAAAATCTCTTTGGACCTGGTCTTGCACAATCAATGACCTGTAGGGAAATCGACAGGTTATTTTCTGTCTATTTGGTTACTTGTGGACACTCACTGCAGATTCATTTAACTAACTTTTCATCTGTTTTGGTTGGATGCAGAAACCAGAGCAGGCAAACCTGTGCTGAACTGGGCTCGGCGTCACAAGATTGCATTGGGTATAGCTAGAGGACTAGCATATCTTCATACTGGTCTTGAAACACCTATTACTCATGGGACTGTAAGATCTAAGAATGTGCTTGTGGATGAGTTTTCTGTAGCTAGGCTCACTGAGTTTGGGCTTGACAAGCTTATGATCCCTTCCGTAGCTGATGAAATGGTGACCGTCGCAAAGAATGATGGTTACAAGGCACCAGAACTTCAAAAGATGAAGAAATGTAATTCCAGGACAGATGTTTATGCATTTGGAATTTTGCTACTGGAGGTTTTAATAGGCAAGAAGCCTGGTAAAACTGGGAGGAGTGGTGAGTTTGTGGATTTGCCTTCGATGGTGAAAGTCGCGGTTTTGGAGGAGACAACATTGGAGGTTTTCGATGTGGAGGTGTTGAAGGGGGTAAGGAGTCCCATGGAAGAAGGTTTGGTTCAGGCACTGAAACTTGCAATGGGTTGCTGTGCTCCGGTTGCTTCAGTTAGACCCTCCATGGATGAAGTTGTGAAGCAGTTGGAGGAGAACAGACCAAGGAATAGGTCCACTTTGTACAGCCCCACAGAGACAAGGAGTGAGATTGGCACCCCATTTTGAGCTTCCATTTCCCAAATGTTAAAATTATGACTTTAATTGATAATCTTGTCTATCTCTCATTCAGTAGAGCATTGTAGTTGATGGTGATGATAGTGTCTTTATATGGTGGTCATATTTCAAGGATGAAAATCAATTCATGCTCTAAATGTATTTTATGACAATGCTTTCTCTTAGTACCCTTCTCAAGCAGTGTGCTGGAATTTATGAAATCTCAATATATTTATGTTTATGCTGCAATTTTGATGCAGAAGATAAATGTTTCACTATAAAACAATCTGTTAAGACATAACACGCATAATCATCTTTGTAAGAATCAAGAAGGTCTAAGCTACCTATTTTATATTTTTCATGTTTTATTATTATTTTAGCTTATCAGATTATTGGGTTTTATTCTGTTTTTGTTTTCGTTTTCCTGCCTAACCACATGACAAGAGCCAAGAGGTGACAGCTTCATTAGGTTTTGCATGCAAATCTGAAACAAACTAGTTGGATCAAATGTGCTGATGTTTTTAAGGTCACATGCAAACAATGTGGCCTAGTCATCATGGCTACGCGAATTATGCATTGATAAAGTTTTTGTTGCAATAAAGGGAAGCACAAAGCACCAACATTTTATACAAGCGTTATTGGGTTGGGAGGTTTGAACACATAACCTCGAGTGCATCACACATTAATTGACTAAAGTTCATTTATATGGACCAAAGAAAACAGAGTACAAAAAGGTAGAAATGTGATCACTAGAATAGAGAAGAAAAAAAATGTACACTTTTTCAAATATTGGATTGGGGGACAAATAGGGTGGGGGAGGGATGTAAACATAATGGCTGCAAACTCACCAATAATTAAAGGAAGAAAGAATGAGTAATAATTTCTTTTCTTCCTTCTTTTCTTGTTTCTTCCTTCTTTTTTTCTGTTTCTTTTTCATGGGATTGATAATTAACATTGGTAACCCCTCCTGCAACTAAGAACACCAGCACCAGCTGTGATGGTGCCAACCATGGAAGATGACTTGGCCCCTAAGCTTGAGGCCCTGGCATAGCTGCCTGCAGCTCCAGCTCCTGATGCAATGAAATAGGCTCCATTGAGCAGCAGGTCTCCTTCTGATCTCCAGTTCCAGTGCTTCCAGTTGTTATTTGTTTCAACTCTATGTGTCACCTGAAAATATCAATTAAATTGCAAATATTGTCAAATTCCAACCTCATCATCCTCATCAATATGAAAATTAGCTTGGCCAACGGGGTTTAGTCCAGTAAAAACTTGTATATCAATGGTCTCATGTTTGAAACCCCTACAAGGGGAACTTGTAGTTTGTACTATCTTTTGTATTCAAAAAAATATGAAAATTAGCTTCCTTATTTTATTTTATTTTATTGAAAATTATACCTCCTTGGCAAAGGCATTGTTGGGAGCCAGATATCTGTTGCCCTGGCTATTAATGGTGGGTTCAGCACTTCCACCGATGGCATACATTTCCCAGTGTGTGTAGTCATTGTTCACCACATGGAAATACCCGTGCCGACACCTGCAAAATTAATTAAATTGGGGACCAATTAGAAAAACAATAAAAATAAAAACCAAGAAGAAAATAGGAGTTTTTTTAAAAAAAAATTTACTTCAAAAATATTTACCTTGGCATCCTTTGAATTAGCCCCTCACCAAAATGATTGTAGGCAATGGTCACTTGCATTAGCTTGTCCCTTGTGTAAGAGTCACTGTGACCCAATAACATAACCTGTTCCAAATTACCAACATTAAAAATTTAATTAGTCTCTAATTAGCTACTAATTACCTTGAGAAATTAGGGTGAATTAAGTAAAAATGGGTGCACCTCATTATGGTGGGTAAAGTAATTGTTGGAGATGGTAATTGCAGTTGAGCCCATTATAGCATCAATAAGCCCATCAGCACAATTGGAGAGAGAATTATGGTCTATCCAAATGTGGCTGGACCCAAAAATGGAAATCCCATCCCCATCAGCAATTGTCCTCCATCCATAATGACTCGGTGAGCTCCGGACCATGGCATTTCCTGTGGGCTTGCAATCGTGGATGTGCAGCCCGTGGATGATGACGTTGGTTATGAATTGAACGGTGATGCAGGCGCCATATGCAATGTGGACATTGACCCCACGCCCATCAATGGTCTTGAAGCTGTTCATGATGAGTTCTTGCTTTAGCGTGATCACCATGTCACGCTTGAACACAATCCACAACGGCTGGTCTTGGATGACCGCGTGGCGGAGGGTTCCGGGCCTAGGGTTGATCGGGTCGTCATCGCGAGGGTTGTTCACGACGTAGTACTTGCCGTCACGGCCGCCCACAGCATTGCGCCCGAACCCAATGCCGCAGTTGGCTAGGCGCTTGCGGTGGAGTTGCCAATGGGGGTCACATCTCCAACAATCATCAACTGGGTTCCCCGTTGCGCATGAAAAATATCCCAAATTTCTCCTCTCCGTGCTATTCCGAATGCTCCTGAAAATAGTAAAAATAAAACAAAATAATCCCATTATTAATCAAACTTTTTGTAATTATTAAAAAGCATGTGAACCAAAAAATATATTGTCACACACGTGTTAGGGGCCATGTGAATAAATGGTAGGGACAAAAGATATTGCCAATTAAATAAAACATACGGATAGAGGGGTTACGGTCATACGGAAATTGGGTTTTTTTTTTTTGGTGTCCTATTTTTATTTATTTTCATAAATATAGTGACACAAGTAATAAATGGTGAGGTGTAGGCTTGTGTGTCGGTGGAGGTAAATTATTTTTTTAAGAAAAAATGAGACATTTAATGAGGTCATGGAGGACCCATTGAACAACGTAGTTTCTGTCAGTCTAAAAAAATTGAAGCAAAATTCTGCTGAGAAAAAAAAAAAAAAAAAGGTCTTTCAGAACAAAACCAGATCTGTGGTTTTGGGGGATTATGCCTCTTGCCAGGCTGGTGATGGGGAGCAAAATTTATGTTAGCCTACCCCACTAATTGTGTGGGATTTGCATGAAAGTTGAATTATGATCTATGTATATAAGTGAATGGAACAGTAGAAACAGAAAAATAGTGAAATGAACAGTTTTTCACACTGCTTTTTTTTTATATAGACCAGACAAAATAATCATAGGAGATGGGTGAAATCATGATAGGTTTTGACTCTTGAGTGCATTGTATTCATCACATTTATAAAACATTGGATTCTGAAAATGTCTATTATGCAGGTTTGGTTCCCATGATTGGCATGTGGAAAGGTTTGTCGTTTTAAAATCGATACCGACATAGCAGTTTTTCAATTTCGACATCTTAAATTAAACAAAGAGTGTCGAAATCGTTATACTGAATAACGATTTTGACACTCCAAGTTTAGTCATTATATCAGGAGTGTTGAAAATCGCTGCTGTGAAGAAAATGGATGGGTACATGGGGAGGAGGGGGCTTTAGAGTTTAGGGTGGTGTGAAGAAGTGGATTTAGAAGGCAAAGGTGCACAAACAATTGTATTGGCACATAAAGCTAAATGTGCGTGGAATGAGAATTGGATAAGGAATGGGAAAGAGAAAAAAAAAAAGACAAGAAAATAATAATGCACAAGCGTGAGGGACGGATCTGGGGACATGGGCATGTGGGAGAGAAAGAGAGATTGCTGCATGGTGCAGCAAGAACATGCCAACGTGGTGGTTGATTCCCCAGAATCCAAAAAGCACAAGTTCACCCAATCGATTAACAAAAAAGTTAAAAGCCAAATTCCCATTATATTATCATAATAATATGCTATGAATATTATATAAAAGTAATAGACCAGGATTAGTCATTATAGAATATAATGACACAGAATTAGTATCACCAGAAAGAGCAGAAACTTAACATAATATTGTTTTGAAGAATATTTTATATGCTGGAAAACGATGTCGTTTTGGATACTCAATCATGTACTTTTTGACCATGACAGATTGGTGGGTTAAAATTACAAAAAAGTGGTCCTTGGCAATTCTTTTTGGATGCTAAACCCTAATGCGCAGGAACAGAAACAGATTGCAGAAGACCAAATCTAAACCTAACTGGGTGGCTTCCCTCTGAAGTGTTGACCATTTTGACTGGAGTTTTTGCGCGGTAAAATTGATTTTGACTATTTGACTGGGAATTTAATCTACGTGCAGGGGAGGGGAAATTGGCATGCGGAAAGGACATGTAAAAAAAACAAGGGGGATTTATTAATTATGCACAAATCCCATGTGACACTTGTTTTCTGTGAGTGTGACCCCATAAAATCATAAAATATTTTTTTGGGTAACATGCAAATCACAAAAAAGAGAGCAAACAGGGACTTACATTTCAACCATAGAGGCAATCTCATCTGGATTATCCACTGCATGCTCATTCAAAGCCTCGTCAGACCTGCAAACAGATAATTATTTCCACCAAGTTAATTTTCATGAATCGTATTTATTTTTGTATATAAACGATATCTGGAACGCAACACCTCGAGTATCTAAATAACTACTCTTAACCTCTTGAGTTAAAATCTTCGTACACAAGTTTGCTTCTTGATTTTTTAATTAAGAATGAGTTAGTAAAAGTTACTAACGTGAACCACCTAATAAAATAAGCACAAAGAGACAGGCACCGGCCGATAAGCGTGGAGAGAGAAACCACCTAATAAAATAAGCACAAAGAGACAGGCACCGCCCGATAAGCGTGGAGAGAGAATTGATTATGGGAAAAGAGAGATGATTAACTATAAATTAATTTAATTACTTCAAGCATTCATATTAAAAGGGTACTTCCGTACGTGAAAAAATAAAAATCATAAGAGGTCAGAGCAAGGTCAAGTTAAAGGCTCTGAGTTTGAACGGAGCAAGAACAGGGGAAAGCTACGATAACCAAATAAACGGCCTAGATTCTTCAGATCCAATCCCAATGGCTTAACCTTGTACCCTTTAAGCAATTTGGACGGTCCAGATCGGAAGTAAACTACACCTGAAGATCTGACACTGAAGCTGAAACTGAAAAAAAAAAAACAAAGTACTGAAACTGACCAGTCTGCCATTGATGAATTCTTGGAGCTCTGTAACTCCTCTGTTCCGACGAACCTATCAGAAACAAATTATAATGTAATGAGCAGTCAAAATTCAAAGACTCCAAATTGAGCCAACCCAATTAAAATGCAGCTGAATTTAGATAAATATACCTTGAATTTACAAGCTTTTCATTCTCTGCGCTCACAAGCAGAGCTAGAAGAAGCACCATTGTTGAAAGTAATGAAAACAAGCTCAGAGAGACCCCCATTGTTGCCGAAGACCTAGCTCTCATTCTCTTTCTGTATCTATGTATATATCTCACAGAGAAACAATGTCTCTCTCTCTCTCACTCTGCTTCTGAAAATTGCAGAGAGGAAAATATGGAGGAAGAAGGAAAATGGAGTCAAAGAAAAGTTGTCATGGCGCCGTCTTTATATAGTGAAATGGGTTGGCCTAATTACTTCGCTAAACTCACTTAAAACCCTGGTTAAGTTAATATTTGATCAGATAATTTAATTTTTTCTTTTTTATATCAAAAGTTGGAGTTTATTTAGCAATATTAACAACCTTTACCACCACCTTAACCGTCGAGAACAGACTCTCCCATCTCTCTTTAAGTCCGCCACGTGTCGAAGGTGTGTGTGTCGGTCAATCACGTGCCGCACCCTCTCTGATCTGCTCTCCCTTCACGCCTCCGCCAACCGCGAAAGCCCACGTCAGCTCATTTATTTCTGTTGTTTTTTATACTGAACCTGCTGTTTTTAACTTTGTTCACATGCGTACTCGCAGCGAGTTCTAATGCAATATACTCGCGGCCTTTTTGAGCCACGCAGCCACGTGGGAGTAACTGAATTTTCGGTAAGTGTATGAACTGGCTCGAATATAAAAGGGTACGAAATTGACAGGTGTCCTCCCAAATTCCAATGAGTACGGCATCAAAGTTTTGCGATCTGCTAGGTTACCGGTTCTTTCGGTAAGCGTCCGTACTCAAATCCAATTAATGGGTTTTCCCTTATTTTAATAGATTTGTATTCTCAAATTAATTTTCCACCCTGGCAACGTTGGCATTGTCGCTTTTTGATTTTTATTTATTTATTAATATTGGCATTATTATGGTGGCAATTTACAGAGATCCCCTAATTGCCATTTTCAAGGAAGGATCATATGTTCCCATGCAGCCACCATATTGATACTCATAAAATGCCATTAAATGGTTTTCCATTCTTTTATCTGTACATTTGAGCCTTTTTGTACCTTTAATAGTGGTGAAATTAGTAGGGGAGACTTTCTTTGGTCGGGTGATTGAATCATGTCATTCGTCTAACCACACATATAAATAAGCATGACTCCCTACATTAAGATGAGATCAATATAACGTTATTGAATCCTCTTATTTATGTGTGGTTAGACGAGTGATATGATCCACTTTCCGAACTAAAGAATTTCACATTATAAAATGACAGGGAAAATCCCATTTGATTGGACATCGAAATCCACTGCGCAACCCATAAGCCCATAAGAGTGAGGTGTCTGAATTTGTCGTTCAATTAATCATATACCATATTCATTCATGAATCAATCTTATCCACTCATTTTGAGCTTTGGCAGTTCTTACAAGATTTGGATAGATTGGCTCCAGATCCAGCGATATCAATCAAACTCAAAAAAAGCTCATCATTTTGTTAGTTACAACATTTAACACCTTTATTTGCCCTTAATTACAAACCAACAAACACTATACAAAGAAGAAACCCTTGCGTAAATAGATGATAATCTAATAAACTATTCAACAATAAATAAGCTGAATTTGAGGGTCGTGATTGAAATAGAAGTCTGATTAAACATGATCAAACGTACCTAACTCAACCGCTTTTTTTGTCAGACGTGAGGTAAGCATCTATGTAAACCCATGTTTCTGTAGAATAATATTTAGCCTAATATATATCTATGTCTTTCTATTTTCCTTGAGTAGTCGTCAACCTCTTAATTGCACGATAACAAGAAAAAATTATGGCAAATTTCTATATCATTTTTTTTTTTTTTTTGTTTTGACAAGGAGGATATTCTAAACAACTTTGCTGTATTGGAAAGAGAATCAAACTCAAGTACAAGGGACAAGAACACTATCTCGGCCAACTGACCTAATCCACGTACATCTGCAAAATTATTTCATATCGATCCAATGATTTTGATGTTTTAGTGCATGCATGTAAAGTCGTCCCCAAAATAAGTTGTGCAACCCACTAAAACACACACACCTATAAATATATTATGCATGTATGTATGTTAATTGTTGATAAAGTCAATGATATTTTTTTGGAATATATTATTTCGTTTGGTACAATATTTGTTTGGATTAATATTGAAGGATGATAATGAGATATGAGAGGTGTTATAAGCTATTGCATTTTGAGTATTTGGATGTGTCCAAGATAAGTCAAATACATTCTCCTCGGCACGTAGGCTTGTAGGTTATAGGCATGTGATTAGAAGCGAAGGAATCTGCCTATCTTATTATTTTCACATGGGGTAGGCACATTAATATATTACTTAGTCATAGGATTAATTGATTAATTTACTTCTCGGGGATTATAATCATAGTCTTTTTATAATTAAAAAAATATTGGAATATTCTTCTATTTTATGTGCTAAAAGCTAAAATTAATAATAATAAATAAAAAAACATATTCAACCAATTAAAGGAGTGATATATTGTACTTCTTTCCGAAATGTTTGCTCCATGATTTCCGCCTATAAATGGAGGGTTAGATCTTCGAGTTCAATTTGTCATTTTTTTTGGGTAAATTTATTCCTTTTGCCTTTTCTTTTTTATTATGTATTTTTTTTAAAATTATTGTTACATATATATTTGAGAGAATTATTGTGGACATGTTAGGGCCAAGAGGTATATAGTTTACAATTGCCATACATTGGATGATTGGACTGCGGCGTTAATGCCATGAACTCTGCAATATACTATTTCTTCTCCCTCATATTGTTTTTTCTCCTATCTTTTTAGCTCGGAAAAATTCATTTTCCCACCTGCATTATTGCTACACACATCAAATCCAGGTCCCATCTTTGTCTATCCATAAAACCTAACTTAATCCTCCAAGTCTCAACCTTGTTCCATATTCATAATTCATCACCAAAAATGTCAGTTCTCCGGAAGTTAGTAAAGTTTGGTCGGTATGACGATTGTGGAATGAACTGTAAATCCACACTTTATTCAGTTCACGAATTATAAGTTTAACGTATTTTCTCTTTAGTGTGTACACAAACTTCGAGATTGCTTGAGAATGCATAATAGAAGGGAGACTGGATACCCAAAAAATATATATATATATATTGTCAAACATATAGATTGACAGATATGGTATCAGAAAAATCCATCTACAATGAGCACAACAATTGCCTAATTGAGCTTTGCTTGTGATGCAGCCAGAGGATCATATTCGTACGCGTGTACTATCTATGTGTCCTTTTGAGTTTGAGCCTTGTTGTTGAATGTCATTATTGGCCCACATGGGGGTGTGTTATCCATATATGTGAATCGTGATAGCTTTTTTTGTACCCACCATAACACACAACCCATGTTACTTCATTGTTGTGCTGACCTGTGTTTATTTTCCCGCTGGCAAAAGCAAACCCAACAAATTCAAGTGTTTCACTCTTCTTAAAGTTGGTTTGTGATGCCATGAGAGAATAATTCAAGTGTTTCATTTTCTCCATTAGGATTCTTCTTTATGATGCCTAAAACAATGCTTTCCATGCAAGGCACCTATACGGCATGTCATTTTTACACTCGTATGTATGTGTGGATGGATCTGTTGTTTTAGGGTATAGTGCCGAATTGCCTCCTGAACTTGTACATAACTATCAATTTACTCCCTGACCTTTTTTTTTTAGCGAATTAAGGGCTCAAATTAAATTTTATTATCAATGTTCCCCCTGCCGTCTAAATCATCAACATTTCATCCAATTTGCCGTTAAATATGAGGGCAAATTGGTCATTTCATATATTAAAAATAATTAAATACTGTAAAATAAAATAGTATGACATATAAAATGAAAAAAAATCATTTTAATAAACATAGGGG